TATATATATATATATATATATATAAAAGCTTTTTTCTTTTTCTTTTTCTTCTAGAAGTGCTTATTGAGAAGTTAATCTAAAGATGGCCTAAATAAAAAGTGACCGTGATAGCTAATGAGAATTAGTGCTGCTAGTATTTATCTTTATTGTCTATATAGTATACTAATGAAAAGAAGGAAATAGTACTTGCTTGTTTTACTTTGGCGTTTAGTTTTGCGGTTTTTAGTTGTACCTATGCCTATTCTTTGTAATTGGATTCTGCAATTAGGTTGAACCATACCTTTTGTCCGGTAATTCAAGGTTAAATATGTTTATAGTAAAAAAATGTTAGATTTGGTCTTGATTTACAGAAATAATATATTTCAGGTGTCAAGTGGAAGGAACCACACTTGACACATTTGCATAAAATATAAATCTTTTTTAGGAACTAAAAGCTAACAATTCCCCTACTTTGATGTCTAAAAATGTATTTAACTCGTTATTGTTTTTTACTAAGGGACTGAATTATGAGTTAACTAATGGAATTTGATTTTGTATAAGGTTTTACTACTGAATCACTGAGCTACACACAAAAAGACAGCATTATTTCTGAGATTCCAGCAACTATTGCTGCTGTTAAGAACCCGACCTCTACGATTGTCTATGATGAGCACAACCATGAAAGGTTTCCCCCAGGTGACCCCAGCAAGAGGGCATTTGCTTACTTTGTCCTTACTGGTGGTAGGTTTGCTTATGCCTCTCTGGTTCGTCTCCTAATCCTCAAGTTTGTGCTTAGCATGTCTGCTAGTAAGGATGTTCTTGCTCTGGCTTCACTTGAGGTTGATCTCTCCAGCATTGAGCCTGGCACCACGGTGACCGTAAAGTGGCGTGGAAAACCGGTGTTCATCAGGCGCCGGACAGAGGATGATATCAAGCTGGCAAACAGTGTTGATGTTCTGTCTCTTCGTGATCCCCAACAGGATGCAGAGAGGGTGAAGGACCCAGAATGGCTCATTGTAATTGGGGTTTGCACACATTTGGGCTGCATTCCATTGCCAAATGCTGGTGACTTTGGTGGGTGGTTTTGCCCATGCCATGGATCACATTATGATATTTCAGGCAGAATTAGGAAGGGACCAGCACCATACAATCTGGAGGTTCCTACCTATTCCTTCTTGGATGAGAACACGTTATTGATTGGTTGAAAATGGTTGTTCTGCATACAAATGAGATGAGTTTACCAATTGGGTTGAGTAAGTTACAATGTGCCTTAAAGACAGTCTTTTACCTTACAGTACTTGTTGAGTCTGTTTGGCAATTGGTTTGTGTAACTTGGAAATTGTAACTGTTACCTTTTGGCGAGACCTTTATAAAAAATCGTCAGGCTTTTTGCTTAGCTTGCGACAAGTTCAGGAATCTCGCATCATGTATAACAATTTTAATATGATTTTGATTATTAGCTATTGTCAAATACAGAATAAAATTGATCTCAACATTCTTTAGCATTCTGATTCTACTGCCTGAAGAAATAGGTCATCTTTCAAAAACGCCTTTAACATACACCATTCCTTTTTCACTGAATTTGAGTTCCTTCCTCATTTGCTCGACTTGTTGATCATCACCTTGGGCAATGATCTCTGATAAGTTTCCATCATCTGCAACTATTATTTTCACTTTAATCTGCTCCTTTCTGGATGCCCGAGTCCAGTAATAAACGCCTCTACATTGACCCCAAATGTAATTGAGTATATCAGTCAGCATAACAAGGCAATAACAGCAAACTCTCAGCTACACCTCCCTCACAACAGAAAACACAATAACCATAATGAAAAGGAAAAGAAAGTGTGAAGTTTTCAGTTTAATCACTTACGCCAATGGACTTAAGAGCGTGATCAAAAACCAGTTGTTGCCAATATCTGGGAAGGTTATGGTAAGCACAAGGGCCACGCTTGCCAAGCTGATGCAAGTGCAGAAGGTTAGTAGTGCTGCTTGACCCCTGCTTGGAACCATCTGTCCTTCAAATCTGCAAGGGAAAATGGGGTCAACATTTCAGCTTATTTCAGCTTGCTCACAAAACATGATCTGTAAGGAAGACATGGGCTTTGTATTTCCAAACAAAGAAAACCGTATCTCCAAATTTGTCTTCAAGAAATTTGATAGCAGAAACCATGACTCTTGAAAATGAAAAAATCCCACCATAGTTTCATATAGAGCATCATCATCATCATCAAGGGAGAACCATCTTTTGGGTTATTAAATTACTTTTCATTGGACCGTCTTGCTATTGCTACATTTTTTATTGCATCAATAAACTCAAGAAACTATTCCCACATTATCCTGAGCAATAAAATTATTTATCTAGTATCAGAGCACCTTCTTACATAAGAACTATTCTACCATTTAGCAAACACCTCCTACCCGCTCCAATGGTGAACTTGGAAAAGGTGAATTCTTGTGTGTAAGAAAACATCAGAATTGAATATGATTACCAAGATATTTAAAATACACTTCTCATGTAAATATTTATCATATATAATCACACATTATCATACATGACAAGTTTGTTGACTATCATAATAACAATTCCAAAAGTCAATCCTGTGATGAATTTCCCTGACTAATATGTAAAAATACAAGAGCTCATAAAAATTAAACTCTTTCTATTATTTGAAACAAACGGGATGCTTAAGTTTCCCTAAAACAAATTTGAGGCCTCAAAATACAAAAAATACCCTGATAAGCATACTGTGAGAACAGTTAAACAATACATATTGTTTCCTAATTATAGATTGATAGAAAGAAAGGTACCAAGAAAAATCCAAAGCAACCAAGAACATGCACTATACAAGAATGAGACAGTGACGTACGTGATTGTCTCTCCCCTATCAGTCACTGCAAAGTTGTTACGAGTGAAAAACGATAAAATCTCCCCAGCAACTTGATTCGGTGCCTTCTTTTCACCTTCACCTATAAACGTCTTCTGCACAATCTATTTCCCCATCCACCAAAACACACCAAAATAG